AGAGCCAAGTTGGGGAATGGTAAAATCCAAATTGGAAACTAGGATGGATAATGTGGAGAAGGAGATGAATACAGTAAAGGAAGACCTAGGATCCTTGAAAATTGACATGGGTAGTGTGGAAAGAATATTGACAGAAATGAGGGAGTTAAGCGCATGAGAGAAGAGAGGGAAGGAAGAAGAGAACAAGAAAGAGAAGACTTCTTCACGCAGGAACCAGAATGCTAGTAGAGATAAGGAATCAGAACGGGAAGACAATGGGAAAGACGAAAAAAGAAACACCGGAAGCTCGAGTTACCCATCTTAATGGTGAGGATCCATTTGGATGGTCCTTCAGGGCAGATCGTACTTCACCATCAATCATTTCCAAGAGACAGAAATGGTGGAAGCAGCAGCAGTTTGCATGGAGGGAAGAGCTTTAAGCTGGTATCAATGGGTTGAATCCAGAGCACCTTTTCAGTCGTGGGAAACCTTCAAAACAGCCTTGATCGACCGTTTCCGACCATCATTTAAAGGATCAGCATATGAGGCTTTAGTGGCCTTGAAACGAGAGGGGACAGTTACTGAATATAGGGAACAGTTCGAATCCAGTGCAGCACCATTGAAGGACCTGGGTGATGAATTGCTCAAGGGAATTTTCGCGAATGGCTTAAAAGAAGATATAAAAGCTGAGCTTCGTTTGTCTTAGCCAAATACTTTATTTGGGCTGATGGATCAAGCCCACAGAATTGAGGAGAGGAATTGGATATTGGATAAACAAAGGCCCAAGCCATTTAGAAACCGAACGGGTCGTGGGGAGCCATATTCACAGGTCAGCCCAAACCCGGAACTCACGCGCACTAATTGGCCAACTTTCAGTGCAAGACCACCAGATCCCTCTTCGTTAACGTCAAACTTCAACAAAGCCACCAAACGAAAAAAGAAGACGACTGAGTCAGTGGGGTCCGTCAACCGATCTGACAATTTTCGACGGCTTTTTGATGCTGATCTGCAGTATAAGCGAGAGCGTGGGGTCTGTTACCGCTGCGACGAGAAGTATGGGCCAAACCACCGATGTAAAAACAAGACTCTGCAAGTGTTGTTACTCCTGGATGACGACGACACACACCCACCGGAAAGTGGAACAGAAACTGATGAAGAAGCCAACGGTGAAGGTAAATCTCTAGCTCTTTCGATGAACTCCATTGTGGGTATTTCTTCGGGAAAAACCTTGACATTACAAAGGGAGATTGGGAATGAAAAGGTGGTGGTTTTGGTGGATAGTGGGGCTTCCCACAACTTTGTGTCCCATGGGGTCGTACAAAAGCTGGGGCTGAAGGTGGATGAAGGAAAGCCTTTTGGAGTAATGGTTGGGGATGGATGTACCATTCGGGGAAAAGGGATTTGTAAGGCAGTGAGGTTGAAACTTCAGGGAATTGAGATACAGCAGGAGTTTTTCCATTTCGAATTAGGAGGTGCAGACGTGGTTTTAGGGGTTACATGGCTGAGTAGCTTAGGGGATGTGAGCGCCGATTGGCAAAGATTAACTATGGAATTTGACTGGGAAGGGAAGAGGGTGAAACTGCAAGGGGATCCCCTACTGGTAAAGACGGAGGTATCACTGAAGACTATGGTTAGGACTTTACAGGCTGCAGGAAACGGGTATGTGGTGGAATTTGGATCCATAGGGTTGAAGGAAGAGCCAATACAGGAGGAAACTAAACCGGGAATAATTGAGTTAATAGACAGGTACCCACAACTTTTGACCAGAATCCTAAATTACCACCCCGTAAGACCCATGACCATGCCATAGAATTTCAACCAAGTTCCAAACCACCCAATATCCGACCCTACAAATACCCGTATTTTTAGAAGAATGAAATCGAGAGGCTAGTTGGGGAAATGTTGTCTGCAGGGATTATCCAGCCTAGCGTTAGCCCATACGCCAGCCCTGTTCTATTGGTCAAAAAGAAGGATGGAAGTTGGTGATTCTGTGTGGATTACAGGGCATTAAACGATATTACCATACCCGATAAATTCCCAATACCAACCATTGAAGAATTACTTGATGAATTAACCGGGGCAGCAATTTTCACTAAACTGGACCTGAAGTCAGGGTATCATCAAATTTGGGTGTGAGAGGTTGATGTTCCCAAAACAGCCTTTCGCACACATGAGGGGCATTACGAGTTCCTTGTGATGCCTTTTGGTCTCACTAATGCATCCTTCACATTTCAAGCCTTAATGAACTCCGTATTTAAGCCAGTTCTCCGTAAATTTATCCTGGTCTTCTTTGATGATATCCTTGTGTATAGCCCCTACCTAACCATACACATTCAGCACTTACAACTCACCTTTCAGATTTTGCAGGAAAACAATCTGGTGGTTAACAAGAAAAAGTGCTCATTTGGCCAATCTAAGCTGGAATATTTGGGTCACCTAGTCTCGAAACACGGAGTTGAGGCAGATTCGGAGAAGATTGAAGCCATGGTATCTTGGCCGTGACCTATAAATGCGAAGGGATTGAGAGGTTTCCTTAGGCTGACAGGTTATTACCGGAGATTCGTAAAGGATTATGGTTCAATTGCACAGCCCCTTACTCAGTTATTAAAGAAGGACTCTTTCACTTGGAATGATTCGGCTCAATCGAATTTTGATAGACTCAAGGAAGCCATGACTACCGTCCCTGTTTTAGCAGTTCCAGATTTCACACGGCCCTTTGAAATTCAGACAGACGCATTGGGAAGAGGTCTCGGGGCTGTTTTGGTACAGCAGTCTCGCCCAATAGCATTTCTCAGCAAGGCGTTCTCCCCTACAGCTAAGTTGAAATCGGTTTACGAGCGTGAGTTGATGGCCATTGTCTTTGCAGTTAGGAAATGGAGTCACTATCTGTTGGGCAGAAAATTCCTCATCAAAACTGATCAGCGCAGCCTCTAGTTTTTAACGGATCAATGATCAAAAACTCCGGAACAACACAAATGGATCTCCAAGCTAATGGGTTTTACCTTTGACATTCAGTACTACCCAGGGGCTTCCAACCGAGCAGTAGATGCTTTTTCCAAAAGAGAAGATGGAACCGAAGGGGCACAGCTTTCAGCCTTATCTATGGTACAGTTTTCTGAATTTGAGGAGATGGCCACGGAAGCACAAACAGATCCGAAACTCAGGGAAATCATTCAGGATCTTCTCCTTGACTCTTCTAGCCGACCCACCTATCATATCCGCAGGCTGGTTATTCCAAAAGGGTCCAGATTTGTTTCCAAATTATTGACCGAATTCCATCAGAGTCCTAGTGGGGGCCACTCGGGTTTCTTCAGAACCTACAAAAGAGTATCTTCAGTAGTTTACTGGGAAGGTATTCGGGGAGATATACAAAGCTTCATTAAAACCTGTACCACCTGTCAACTGAATAAGCAGTCGTCGTTAAAACCTGCCGGACTCCTCCAGCCTCTCCCCATTCCAGAACAGGTCTTTGAGGATATTTCTATGGACTTTATCGGGGGACTACCACGTTCTAAGGGTGTTGATACCATCTTTGTTGTCGTTGACCGCCTAACCAAGTACAGCCATTTTTTTAGTCTCGGCCACCCATACAATGCAAAGGATGTCGCCACCATATTTGTTAAGGAAGTGGTCCGTCTACACGGTTTTCCCAATTCCATTGTTTCTGACAGAGACAAACTCTTTATGAGTCAGTTTTGGCAAGAGTTGTTTAAGGCTGCCGGCACTGTTCTGAAATTTAGTTCGGCTTACCATCCGCAGACTGATGGGCAAACGGAGGTGGTCAATGGGTGCCTCTAAGAGTATCTTCCCTGTTTCTGCAGTGCTCAGCCCCGTCAGTGGCCTAATTGGCTTACCTGGGCAGAATATTGGTACAATACAACCTACCACGGGTCCATCCGCATGCCGCCTTTCAAGGCCCTCTATGGACGAGATCCTCCCACCCTTTTAAAATTCACAGACTGTCCATCCGCTGTGGAAGATATCAATGTCCAACTGACAGAACGTAATGCCATATTGGGAGAGCTTAAGGACAATTTAGTTGCGGCTCAAGCTCGCATGAAACACAATGCTGATCTTCATCGGCGAGATGATTGTTTCTAGCCTGGTGACTCAGTTTTCCTGAAGCTTCAGCCCTACAGGTTTAAGTCCCTTGCCCAAAAAATGAACGAGAAACTCAGCCCCCGTTTCTATGGTCCTTACCTTGTTCTAGAATGCATAGGACCAGTGGCTTATAAATTGGATCTGCCGTCCACAGCCCGCATTCATCCTGTCTTCCATATTTCTCAGCTCAAGAGGAGCTTACATCAGTCGGTACCCATCCAACCCCTTCCTGACTCACTCTCTGAAGATATGGAATTAATGATCCAACCAGATACTGTTCTTGCGGTGCATACCCTGTCAGGTGGGTCTAAAGAGGTTCTCATCAAATGGCAGCATTTACCTGATTTTGAAGCCACCTGGGAACCATATGAAGTGATTCGATTACAGTTCCCACAATTTCACCTTGAAGGACAAGGTGAATCTTCAGGGGGGGGGGAGGGGGGGTTATTGATAAGCTGGCAGTGCATAAAGTCTACACCCTTAAAGGGCGTAAAAAGCATTAGGAAGGTTGTTAAGGGAGAGGGACCACAAAGTACAGGTGTCATTAGCGTGGATTCTGTTTTGGAGAATACAAATTGTGTGAGTAAGGGTAATTGTGGAAAAAAGGAATTAGTATATATTCAGGGAGAGATGTAGTAGGAAAACACTTTTGATTTTGGGTTGATAAAACAGTGGAGGTTCCTGGCTCCTCGAAACGCCAGGGTTTTAGGATATTTCCAATTCTCATCTGTTCTATTTTCATCCCGTTCTTCTGTTTAATACAAGCAGTGCAGGAATTGCATTTGTGTCTTGAGTTGTGATTGAATGTGTGTGTTGGTTGATTTGTGTGAGAATTATTGCTGGTTGGGTGTTGTTTGATTTAATCTGCAGGTGGTTGTATCAGTATGCTGTTGTTTTTAATTTTATCAATCCCCTATATTCATTCGCTAATCTTGGACGTGTTTTTAGATGAACGATTCCTTTGAGCAAGTGAAGGGCAGGGCAAACAAATTGAAGGTTAGTTCTCTAACCAGTATCGTTACAAAAGATACTGTTATTCATGGTGTTTGGTCCTATAGGTGTGGCAAGCATATTAGTCAACTATGAATGAAACCGAACTATTGGCCAAATATAATGTTTCTTTGCGAGAGATCAGGTTGCCCAATAGAAATATTGTTCAACACCATGGCTCCGTTTGGTTCAAGATTGGAATACTACTCTTGTGTATTCCCAAAAAGTTAAACAGTAGAATACCCAAATCTCTCATTTTGGGAATACTATTTTCAATTATATTAATTTTTTTTAAACCCTCTAAATTTGTTAATTTAATTAATACCCTAAATATTTTTTTTTAAAATTACAAAAACCCAACAATCCACATTTACAAGATTCCGGCCACCACTACCGGAAAATGGCCGGAATCTGGTAGGATGGCGCACTACCGGCTGAATCTGGCCGGTAGTGCGCCGATCTAGCCTTTTCCGGCCAGATCCACCGTGGATCTGGCCGGAAAAGGCCAGATCTAAGGCCAAAGATCTGGCCGTGTGCTGACAGCCAGATCTTTGCCGTAACACTCGGTCACGACGGCCAACAAACGGTCGTCGTTGACCATCAATGACGACCATTTGTTGGCCGTCGTTGAGAGCAAATACGGCCAAATCTGGCCGTTGACGGCCAGATCTGACTGTAGATCTGGCCTTTTGCTGGCCAGATCCACCGTGGATCTGGCCGGAGAAGGCCATAGCGACGCATGACCGGCAATATCGGGGACAACGGCGGTGCATCGCGCGCCTATAGCAGGGCAACTCACGGGCTAGAACCCGACGCTTCCGTGTGGTCGCCGGTTGGGGGTGTTTGAGAGTGGGTTAGGGGTATTTTTGTTAATTTTTAATGTTTTATTATAGGGGGTATTTTGTAAAAAAACAAACATAAAGGGTATTTTATTAATTTATAAATTCTACATCGTAATACCCGCCCAATTCAACTTTTTTTTAACTTTTTTCAAAAAACTTTTCCCGAAACCCCCAAATTTTGAACCAAACGAAGCCCATATCTTTTGGATAGTAGTTGAGTGGTGTGTGGTGGCTCTCAATTTTCTATTTCATATCCTCGTATGTAGAAACTAATTATTGGCTTCTTATTTTAAATATTGGTAACTATAGCCAGAGATGTTGGCAATGGATATAAAGACCTAGGAAGAGGAACACGCAGATCTTCTATCAGATAAGGCTGGAGAATCTGAGTTTTGGGAATGCCTAAAGGACCAAATTGAGCAAGTTAAGGTAAATACAGTTGTTAGCTTTTTCTTTATCATACAGAAGCTAAAGTATTTTAGGATTTACTTGATCAAAACCTGAAATAGCCTTTAGTTTTTGACCAAAGCAAGGTTTAAAAAGAAAAGGTCCTCAGTTGGTGGCTAAAATGAAACTCTTAATACAGTGGGGTTTTGTTGCTCATCGTTGTCAAACTCAATTACAGTTGGGAAAGTTTTTGCCTTCATTTGCTAAAAGTCATTCCGAATTCTAGTAAACATGTGATTACTTTTTCTATATCAAAATATCATATTCTAATTGATGCTTCTGCTTGTTATAGGGACTTTCCTATGTGCTGAAATGTTGATTGTGGAGAGGAATACAAGGTGGAAGTGAATATTTAATTTTAGAAAAGTATGATAGCAATGAAACTTAGACAACTCAAAAGGCTGAAGAAACACATTTGTAGTTGACAGGTAATCGAATGCGAGACAAACTAGGAATTGATCCTTAGAACTTATAATGCAAAGGGATTATATGATAAATGACTTTAGTTGTTAGCTCAGATCTAGTTCAATTGTTTTGAGTAGTATATTTGTAGAAACAGTACTGCTTCATCTATTGTTGTTAATATTGAAAGAATACTTCATGATGATGCTTTTAATATGATGAAATGGTAAGTTTTGCCATACCATCTGCAAATAAAACTATACCTCGTGTATCATATGGTTGGTCTGGCATTTTACAATTATGACATCTTTTGCTTATATTTTCGAAATGTTATTTCAGATTGTTTTTAAGACTTTAATAAGGAAATTATGCCATGTACACAAATTTACATTCCATATTATTCTATATTTAGTATTTTATTGTACTTGTACAATTGAAATATCTCACAAGTTGAGATGTATATTCTTGTATGTATGGTACTTATATCCTTGCGTTTGCATTAACAATGAGAATATAAACACTTAAAAGGAAAATATAGTAAAGATCATAATCACTTGATCTCATGAACCTTTAGAGCTGCAGAGATATCGTGGGCTTCATAACTTCCCTTCACATGGCAATGTTCGGGCTGTCTTATGGAGCTGAATCTTCTCTTTTAGAGCTCTCTTCACCATGAAGAAGTTTCCCACTGCTATAGTCCACGGTGCCTCTTACAATTACAGTCTTTTGGAGGCCAGCCAGCAGGTTTTCATAGTCTGTGTCTCCTCTATCTCACACAAACACTACTGTTTTCGAAAGATCAATTCCCTACCTGATTGATAGATAGTTGCACGGAATATGGTAGCAACACAAACGTACCAAAGATTTCAATTTTCACTTTACTACAACTGATTGATCTTGATCTTATTTGATGATTCTGTACAATATTATGATATGCAGTGAAAAGAGGTTGAACCTTAGAGCCTATTTTCTTGATGCAAATAGTGGTACCATGTTTAACCTTGATGCTGCATGTGTGTAGACAAGGTTGCATCGGAATCCTCTCATCTGCAGCCTTTGGTGAAGGTCATCTACTCTTCGAGTCTGCCATTTGTATGTTAAATTCATCCTTAGTTTTGTTACCAAAAAATGCATCTGTCAAGGTATTACCTGCAATTTATATCAGTATTTTTGAACATTGTCATAAAAATCTTACATTGGCTCCTGGTTTTTTGTTGTAAGACTAGCATCTAGAACTGCACGCATCCACGTGCTCTACAATGTCATCAACCTCAGCTCCATGTTCTGTCCTCGCAAGCCTAATCACCATTGATCTCACATTCTCACCAGGCCATTTGTATTCTGCATGGGCTTCGTGGTCCAACTCAGTCACCGTATCTCTCCATAGGTAATATAGTTCACTTCCACTGTTGCATATTATTGCATCAAAATCTTCTTACTGGGCAGCTTTTGATTGCTTCCTGTCTCTCGAAAACTCGAACCGGTTACCCATATGAAGCCTACTTTGGTCAAGCCTATACTCAATCCTGTTGCTTTCATCACATTCTGGATTGTTTTTTGTAACTTCTCTGTGATATTGTCGTTGCTGTCTTAGCAATCGGTAGCTATTACAAATAGCATCAGCCTTCTACCAGGAGTGTGAGTGACACTGGCACTACCATTTAAGGAAGCCTTCTGGGTGATGGCTTCAATGAGTTTTTCTGTCGTGTTGTTGCATCAAGCTCCCCATTAAGCTTGAAGTCTCCTTCTATGGAGAACTTTAAAGAAAGATCTTCCACATCCGGAACTTTCATGATCTCAAGACGTGTGGTGGGGTGACGGTTCCTGCACTGTTCTACATGTGAGAGGTAGTTACGACGGTGTTCTGTCCATGAAAAGTGGTAGGAGACCATTGTTAAGCACCTGGTAAAACAGAGTCCTCTGTTACTATCAGTCTAAGTCATAAGGTAATACTATCATTAATTCATTAGGTGGCCATAATTTCCTATCAAAGCTATTTCTGTTATAATTTCATAGTTTGGAGTGTTATACAATGAGGTATTTTTTAATTCTGCATAATTTTAGTCTAGGCATGCATTTCTTCTACCACAACTTTTCATGAAGGATAAAAAATTTGGAACCTTCACAATGTCCCCAGGTCCCTGTTCTTTGTGGCAACAATAGGAGGACCATAGGTAGTTGCCTGCAAGATACAAGTGGAATATATCAAGATTTTTTTTTTTGATATATTTAGGCTTAAATGTTTATAATGCTTCAGAATTTTTTCTAGTCTATCAAGTGCTCCTTTTATAAGATTCAGAGTGTTACTAAGAATTGAAGGATTCAGTCAATACAACATTTTAGAATAGAACACAGAGATACCTCGATGAGTGTGAGACTGAACGGTTCCACAGGAGCTGGATTGATGAAAACTCCTTTCAAGAGACAAAGCCGCCATAGAAGTACTATTAGCAAATTTGTCGTTGCAAGGAAAAGGAAAGAGTTAAAGTATGTCAACTTCTAGACATTAATCTAAGCTGATATGTTCTGAAAATATAGAGTTGCATAGATTGATCAGGCAATACAAGCATAACGAGCCTAAAGTACGTCGTTGATGAGAGTGTTTTCTAATATATTTGATCATCATTTCTGAAGTACCAAAGGTAGATCAAGTGTCCTTTTAGAACTATTTTGATGCAATGACTAGTAGAATTCTAACCAACCAGGCAACACGGATTCCGTGTTTTTGTAGAGCATTGGATAAAATGATTAACAATTTACCTTTGTTTTCGCAGCCAAACAATAACTTTCAAGAACTTCAGATTGCTTATGATGCTTCGGATAGGCCACCTGACCGTACAAGTCATACTTGTCGATGAGCTTTAGAACAGTGGTAAGAACAACTGAACTGCTATTAGACATATCTTCAATGTCATCTCTGTTTCCCAGTATTAGTGTTTGCAATATTAATCCCTCAGTAAATTAGCTTGAAGTTTACCAATTCTATCAAAGCCTTATTTAACAATAAGTCATTGAAGTGAAACACAATTTTTACCATGTTGGCTAGCTCTTCCCAAAACCCCAAACCCCAAACCCAAACCCTAAAACCTAAACCTTAAACCCTAAATCCTAAACCCCAAACCCCAAATCCTAACCCCCTAAGCCCTAAGCCCTAAGCCCTAAGCCCTAAACCCCTAACCCTTAAACCCTAAACCTTAAACCCCTAACCCCTAAACTCTAAACCCTAAACCTTAAAACCCTAAAACCCTAAAACCTAACCTTTAAACCCTAAACCTTAAACCCTAAAACCCTAAACCCAAAACCCTAAAACCCAAAACCCTTCAAATCCTAAACCCTAAACCCTGAACTTTTTTTTGGAAAAGGTAAGTATTTTTATAAAAGAGACAAAAAATGTACAAATATGAGGAGCATACCCCAAGAGGATGACTGATAATTCTCAGTCAAAAAAACACATGGGAAAACCCATAAAGCCACAACGACATAAAAAGAGCACGCAGGCTCCCCACAAAACAAAACAAGAAGATGCCATAAATCACAAAGCCACAAACCGGCATGAAAAAGCACGTAGGCTCACCACGAACAAACCAAGAAAATTCCATGAATCACAAAGCCACACATCGGCACAAAAGAGCACGCAGGCTCCTTACAAAGCTAATCAGGAAGATGCCATATCACACGAAGCTGATTCAAGATCTCGTATTTAGGTACTAAACCCAAAATCTTGGCCCGAACTAGATCACAAATAGCTAAGACAGTATCTCTACGAGAGCTACAATGCTGATGAAACACGCGATTATTCCGTTCAAACCATAGAAAATAAACTGTGGTTGAAAGGACCAACTGGCAAAGAAGGTGGTTGAAGTCACCTTTTCGTCGAAGATGCAAGCTAGCCCACTGGAGTAGAGGGAGCCAAGAGACAGTAGGCCATGTAGAGAGCGTCTTGGTAGTGACTACCTACCAAACATAACTTGAGAAGTCACAGTTGAAAAACAAATGGTCATGAGTCTCTATAGCTGAACTGCACAAAACACACAGGGATGACGTAATGACACCATGAGAATTGAGCTGATCCATGGTGTGAAGCCGACCAAGAGATGCGAGCCAGAGAATGAAAGAGTTGCATGGAATATGCCTTGGAAACCACAACAGACGATGAATCGAGTTCACATCCTGTTTGTCTCGTAACACATTCCAGGCTGAATCAATAGAGAAACGTCCAGACGGGTGGCCCTTCCACATAAGATGGTCAGGATGACTCGCTCAAGGCTGCACTGTAATGGAGTCCCAAATATGCTGAAGGTCTGCACTGCCCGAAGGAAAATCCCATAAACCATCCCGAATTATGTTTGAAAACCGAGCATCCCATGGCAAACCAGTGGAAGTCAAAGTTCTAAAAGGGAGCAAGTCACACAGAGGTCCTTGCGGTAGCCAGTGATCCCGCCATAACATGGTGTCCTTACGATCACCAATACAAGTCACAATAAGACCCCGACACCAAACCTTGCTAAGTAAAATCTTCCTTCAAGCCCATAAAGCCCCAGAAGTAACTCGAATATGCCAAAAGGACTAACCACGGAGGAGAATCAAATGGGCCCAAGAAAACCATACAGAAGATCTATCATTAAGTAGTCTCCAAACGTGTTTAAGAATAGTTGCTCTATTCCAATCTTGGATGCTCTTAATCCCCAGACCACCCTCTTTCAATGGATAGCAAACAGAAGACCATGCAACCTTGACACCAGAAGGGGACAAAGAAGTACCTTTCCAAAGAAACGAGGCCAAAATACTCTCAATCCGTCTAACTGTAGCTATCGGTAAAAGAAATATGGATGACTAATATACCTGTATGGAGAAAAGCATTGACTTGCCTGCATAGGTCAAAGATGCCAACGTCCATAGCCTAATCCGAGACAGAATTCGCTCTAACAGAGGCCTACAATCAGAATC